TGCACATAGTCTATTGTTTTTATTGCCATATAAACTGCTCTGTTTGTGTTATGTATCAGGATGCAGCCATATAGGAAGCTGGGTTTCATGAAAAATTACCCTGAGCTGCTGTGTGTGTGTTTTTTAGACACTATCCTAACAGTTTGGTTTACATGCGTCTTTTAGAGCTGTTGGCACGTGCTCCACATGCTCTGGAAAGTGTCTTCCCTATAAATTCAGTGTTATTATAGCAGCATTGACATAATTAATAATTACTAGAAACTAGTTCTTCTTCTCTGCCTATAAAATAAATATATAATATGCACACACACCTAAATGTAAAAGCACTAATTAGCAGGCAATCGTAATTTGCAGTGTAGGAAACAAATTGTCTTCTTAAAATATTGATGTGATATCTTTATGATGGTATCCTGCCACAAATAGAAATGCTAACAGGTATTCAGTGACTCACACAAGCTGCAAATGTATTCTTCTGTTTTTTTACAACATGCCAAAAGAGAAAGATATAACGCAACACTGACCTTTGTTTCACAGTAAAGGTTTGCCACCAACTTAATCACAGCTTACCTACTTCCTTATAATGACTACTTGAGTTTTGTGAAACTAAATATTAACCTGTCGATTTGGGGAGTTGGAGAGGGGGCAGTTTAAGTCTTAGGAGCCATGATGTTTCCAGGTTGAATCAAACGCAGGATTATCATCTCAGCTAAGAGATTTATTGGAGACGGTCTTTGCATTTCTAAAGTTATCAACGTTGAATTCACGAATCAATTTCATGAAAATGGAAACGCCGGCAACAGTTTTAGCTTCTTCAGTGACCTACCTGTGCATAATAAACATTAGCAAACTGCTGTTGATAACGCCATGCCAGTTCAGTTAGTAACACAAGGATGTCATTTGTAAAAACATGTCAAAAGTACAGCTGTAGATGATGCCTTCCACCTTTGGCTTCTGGGTAACAAGGAAAAAAGTATCTTCACAGAGCTCCTGATGGAGAGAGCTAACTTAAGATTTTGAGTTATTTCTCAAAATTACAGCTTATTAACTCAAAATTTTGAAATTTCTAGTCTACTGTGGTTGAAAATGGTTCTCTGTGAGTGAGTTGTAAAATAATAGCTGACCTTCTGTCAGGGCTTGAGGTTTAAAGATTTATTCATTGAACTGTTTTTTAGTTTTGAACTTTCTTCTCAAAATGTCCAATTTATGCCCTTTACACCAGTGTGACTGAGCTGTAGTTAACTTTGTCTCTCCACCTTCTTTCCTCAGCCGTAAGAGGAGCTCCTCCAGCGCCGCCTGTGGGCAGGTGAACGGACCTCAGTTCGGGACTTGAACTGTGTCGTTGAGGAGGGAGTGGTGAAGCACTCGAATCATAAACACACTACATCACAAACATACACTAACATTGAGCCACCAGCTGGAAGCATCAAGGTGAACACCAAGTAAACACTACTACACCACGCAGGTTTGACACTACTCAGCGGTCACTTTCAGTCTTTGCACGAGAGAACAAAAACCACTGACTGGGACCACTTTGATGACGACTCTGCAGAGGCTTCTGTTTGACACTACATATCGGGACCAAACTCCGAACACTTCCAAATCTCTGCATTCCATCTTTTTTTATGCTTATTCAGAATAATAATAAGAATAGTTGTGATTTTTCAGAATAACATATTTTCTTTTTTCTGTTATGTTATTGCTTTTTGGTGTCAGCATTAATTTGTAGGGAATATGAGCAGATACACTCGAGTTTTTCCCTAAAAATTTGTACTGCCACACATGTGGGGCTTATTGTCGGTTTGTTAATTAGTATTTGTCTTGAATAGCCATTCCACCAGTGCCAGGTAAAGGTGTGCTTGAGTCGGTGTGCCAAATGCAGGTGGAGTCTCACGAACGGTTCACCATGACAGCAGTCGCCACACACTTGTTCTGACATTTATAATACTTTGATTGTAGTCTTGCCTGTTTTTGTAACTCTATCCTGTATCTGGGGTTGTTCATATTTGCATCTTCAGATGATGTTGCACAGCAGCTAAACTGCTTAACCGAGACACTGTGCATGACCCTGACATACGCACCTTCAACATCAGGACTACATCATGTTGATGCGACATAAAACTGATTTGCCCCTGATGGTTCTGACAGGTTGTCCGTCACATAGCCAGCATATTTCTTCAGGCTCACTGTGGGTTCTGTGTGGGCCACATTTTAGTCCAACACTAATTATTTGTTTACTGGACCAAGGTTTGCAGACCATTTTTGGAGGAGTTTACAAGGGATCATCTGTTTTTGCAGGAATCTTCAAGGGAAGTTGGTCTGAAAGCTCAGCTCTGCTCTGATTCATGATTTGCTGCTGGTGGCCCTTTCGAAGAAGGACCTTATAGCCAGAGAAAGATAATGTTGTTGAATTGCTATGCAAGCAGCAGTTTGTAGAGATTGTAGATGGTAGCAGCTAACCAAAAACAAAAATCTTAAAAAAAAAAAAAATGCAGGAACACTTAAGTGCCAGAGAATTGTTGGAATATATATGGAGGTCCTCTCTTTTCTCCCTTTGAAAGCATCAAGCTTCACTTTAAAACACTAATGACATCATTTTCTACAGTGCACAGCACAAAAAGTGAACAAAAAAATCCTGGCTCAGGTCAGACTGTCCATTCTCAGTGATGCAGCGCCTCCTGCTGGTATTTGCCTTACACAAATCTGTTGTCACTCATCGGTACCAGTGATTAGTTTTTTGATGATGATGACGACATATATTGGGGGAAGATGATGACAACGGAGTAAATAAGAAACAAGTCTATTTGAAAATGCAATAAATATTGTATATTTACTTTAAGGAATATGGTAATCATAGTTATTGATCTATTTTTATGTTGTAAAAAGCTTGTACTATAGGAAAAGACAAATGATTAAGAGTTCTAACAATGTTCCAGTGGGTGAGCTTTGGTCTGACAGACTGGATTCTTTGTTGCACTTCTCTGGACATTTGGCCATAAAGGTGAATGAGCTGAATTGATGTATGTGAGGTTTTTACCAATGAGCCAACATTTTTGGGGTCTGGTTTTCAAAAAATCAGATTGGCAGGTGATAAGTGATGCACCTCCACTTCTTTTTCTGGATCATGTTCACCTTGATACACAGATGACCCCTCTACTTATCTCATGTTCTCACCTTGTCCACTCTGAAAAGCAAAAGCCCTGTGGTCATTCACGTTATCAGCCATGTTTTTATCATTTGAAATAATTTCAAATAAATATATTCCTGTTGGGAAAGGGTACCTGATTCATTGTGTCTGTTTCTTTATGCTCAGTTTCTGTATTTGTAGCTTTTCTTCTACTTGCACAATGTTTTACTAAATTGGCAGAACTCTGTACTGACAGCTATTTCATGCAGTGGACGCTTGGTTGGTCTCGTTTCTCTAAACATTAACAAAGCTTAAATCTCATTTAGACAACTTTATCTAGATTTCAAGAGCAATAATTAACTCTGCGGTTATTAAGCGTATGGTTTTGTGAAGAGTAACTTTGCCACCTGCTGAACGTGTAACATTAAACTGTTGAGTTTGAGACTTGAAAGTGGACTATTTGTTGCGAACATAGTTGTAGTAGATCCTTGACGTTACACTGCCACCTTCTGAGGTCCTCCAATGTCTATGAGACTTTGTCCTTAAGTCCTGTTGTTCTCCAGAGTATGTATGTGTTCTTAGAGCCTGTCAAAATCTGAGTATATTCCGCTTGCACTTGCTTCCACTC